CGACTGTGCGCCTTACGTCTCAACGGTCCAGCACGGATCAACAGATTTTGGAACACAAAATAGTAATATCTTCGAATCGAGAAGGGAAGGAGGAAATCGTGCTGACCAAAAGCGGATAGGTGCACAAATGGAATGAGTTTTGCAAGCTTTGGTGTGTGGTGCTGTTTGGTCTGATGGGACGAATGAAATTTTCCATCAGCGGCACCTTGGCGGAATAGAAGTATTCAACGACAATAAATAAGCGAAACGAAACTTTATCCTCGAAAAAAACAACACCGCAGCTCACGTTATCAAGATCTCCATATATGATAAGCGCATCATGGTGTTCGGTTCATCTCCACTGAGCATTGCTAAGATCACTTGAAGAAAAAAAGTAACAAAAACCTAAAGGTCGCAAAGCCTCGCGAAATTAAGAAGTGCACTTGTAAGCTGTTGCAAGGCTACGTACCACACATTGTCGACATTATGCTGCACACCGTTGCTAATGTCACCGCTAACACGAGTGGTTCTGCTAAATAAAATCAGCTTTCTTTCAACACACTTTCCTTTTTATGACCACATTATCCGGGTATCTGAATGAAGGCACTTCATTTGACTTCTGTAGTAGCGATACACTCCTAAACAATGAGATAGGTTTGCGTGTGATTTGTCTCAATTGAGTGGGTTTTATATGTTTTTTGACGACGAATGTTGTGTTTTCTGATAACGGACATAGCTTACTGTTCGGCTAGATTATACATTATACACGACATGAGCTGGGAGGAACAGAAACTATAGGTAACTGGGTCTCTGCACATCTGCTTTCACGCTTCAAATGCAGAGGCAATGATCACTTTGGTCTGTCTATTCTGTGTGCTCACATCTGCACCATGTAGCACAAACTTACCGCCGTTTGCTGCATTCAGTGGTATCTAGATAGTGTCCTTTCTCGCTGTTTCCCCTCCACCCCGGAAGCAACAAGAAAATTGCACAATTCCTTTCATTCGATTTCAGGCATGAATTTGTCTGTATAGGCAATTTGCTCACATCTTGGAACAATTTGTTTGCTAGATAAACCCGCAATAAATCTTTCGTAGGTCATTTTGAAGTTTCTCTTGTTTTTAAATTTACCAACTGGTCCTACAAGTAGCCTATGCCAAATCTAGCCGATCCACGACTGGCGGTTCAGGTTACATTTCACTGTCGACCATAATGTATCGATCGATTGCAGTAGCATTTACCAGGCGGCACTCTGATTTACTTCACCCATCGGATGTATCAGAAAACGTTCTTCCGTACACACCACATTCACACTACATCCTTCACTGCGCCGAATCGAGCCAAATTTTTACCGACCCGGTCACAAAATGTATCAACTGGATCTGACTGCGACTCAGCTTGACCTGGTCTGAACTACGCATTGATGCTCGTTGACAAGCATTTGGCATGTGTATCAGCAAGAAATAAAAATTGGGTTGCTTTGCTTGCATACCTCCTCCTCTGATGTTTGTCACTTGACCACGAATCCGGGTTTCGTTCCTGCTGTCATTCCAGACGCCACTATCATTTCGTGTGCCACATTCATGCTGCTTGCTCACTCGGCTTCCGAACTCGCGTGTGCGTGTGTGTGTGTGCTTGCGTGTATGTTTGTCTGCGCATGTGCTTATCTGCTTTCTGTGTATTGTACTCATCAGGTTTACCACACTCCTGACAATTCGTGGATTACTTTCACCAGCTTCGAACTCAATAATATCAGCGGTGGTTTATCCTTTTGACATCGTTGAGTACTACGTTCCCCGCCGCACGAAATCAAATATTCATTGTCATTTTTATTCAGTCTAAGTTAGTATTGTATAAGCAACTAAACACCTTAAGGAAACTTCATCACAATGAAAGTGAACCAGAAATCAGCTATTAGTCCTTGTCAACATCGCCCCTTGGATCACTAGAAATCAGCGACTAGGTAACACTCACTTTCAGAATGCAATTTAATTTTGTGTGCTCTAATGCTTGTTCTCAAATTCGGGATAGCACTAGTTTATTGAGTAAAGAGTTTCTTTAACCGTCAATTTTCTCAGTGTGCAAAAACACTCAATTTGATCGGGATGTAATTCCAGATGTTTGCAGAAATCGTGCTCATCTGATTAACGATGGCCTTGTATTAGTGCCACATCCATCAGTCGTTGGCATTGGATTGCTGGTAATTTAATAATATTTCCGGTCCTCTACTCAAAACGCGTACCGTGGACACCAGGATTAACCACATTGTCATGCAAAAGGTGCTGTAGAATGATAATCGGTTAACCAATTTTTGTTACTCACCACCGGTCTGAGTTTTGTGCAAATGTTTTCATCAATTCAGTTATTTTTTCCTTGGATCGCTGTCCCTGATTGAGTATTTTGCACAGTCCGTTTGCATTCAGTCAAATCGCACAAACCCGTAACCGATTTGTACATCCCCCCCCCCCCCAAGNGATTGAATCGCAAGCGTTGACGGATGTGCATTTGATCATGTGTCCTGGGGTCTAATAAATTAAGTTGTCATTCAAGACGGTACCTTGAAACAGTTGAAGTCACTTCCATTTTTCCACGTTGCACATTTTGTAGAACTTGAAATTACGAATTTCATTTCTACCACAGTGTGACAGTGAAAATTATGAATTGAGTTTGACGAGCTCGCGCGAAACATTCAATGTGCTTCTGTTGTAAATTGGGCAGTAGGCTTGACGTGATCTAAAGCCCCTTCCTTACGTAGACACCGAGCGCTACAAATTGAGCTACTAGGCTACACCGACAGCTCCAACCTTGTTACAACTAACCATGCCAGTTGGTAATTTTGTTTCAGGATCCACTAGATTGACTTTACGATCAGGGATCTAGTTCAAGTTGACTTGCTTGACAGTCCGCTGAGAGGCAATTCATCTGATTGTATTGTTTAAGCATCTCGAGCCTCAGTTATACCGAGTATAATTTGTGCTGTAGCAATTTTACTCTTTATGTTCTTACTCATCGATTCAGCGTTCTCTCAAAAAAAGTCCATGTGAATCTTGCCCTAAACGTTTTCCCCTGTATCGATCTGCACTGCTGCATACTATGTGGTGTGCAAAGTTCACATCTGTCGACAAATACTGACAAAGTGTAGAATAATATTTTAATCACTTTAATTTGTAAACATGAAATGAAACAAAACAAAACATCGCATTCGCTGTTCTCTTTTTCCGATAGTGGACACTAAATTAAACCTTTCCATCGTGCGCCTCGAATAATTCGATCGATTCGGAATGTCCATCACTTGACTCCAATTGTTTTCCTGATAATATGCAATGCCCAGCAAATCCGGATCAAAAGAGAGAAAATAAACTGCGAAAAACCCCTCATATAATCCACTGTGCGTCCGCCCGATCTGTCTGACAGGCGAGGACCGATTGAATAAGTGCCCTTCCCCAGCCCCCGTTGTCCATTGAATCATTGACGGTTTTCTCTATCGCTGTCCTGCTTCAGTCCGGTGTTTATCTGAACGTAATCGGAGGCTATTTTACTCAACAATCCTTGCTGTCGTTGTTAGCGTGTGATGCTCTCGGGGACAGTTTAACGTTCATCTAGTACACGAACACGCACATTTTCCTGTCCGTGTGCCCGTCTATGAATCGATTCTGCCTATTCCCCCTCCCCTGTACAGTTGCAGCTTCACGGGTGGGTAGTGTGTGTGCGGGGGGCGGGGGGCGGGGGAGAGGACACAGTGATATGTTGCACCTTCTATTTGTGTATCATTGTCCATGTACAGTTCATCCACAGACAGAGAGTAAGAAAAATTGGAGGGCTGTTTATAGTAAGCGACATTTCCTTCCAATAGATTGCACTCAAAGTTCCTCTGGACACAATGGTCTGCTGTGACACAGATTCGTGACTCTAATAAAGTTCGTTTGAACGGAGACCATACACTGATTTTGTGTATGACAGGTTTGGCATTTGTACACCAGTTTCCCTCCCACCCTCTCCTCCCCCCTCATTCTATCCCG